AAATGGTTGTAGTTATTTTTCTGAACAAAGTGATTAATACAGCGAAGGAGTAATAACATAAGACAATAGCTCGTTGTACACGTATTAGTGTCGGTCTGTCTGTCTCTCTGTGTTATTGAATATTAATTATAAATACGTTTATCGTTCGTGTATTCGTGCTACTTTGTATTGACGATGCATTCTTACTTAGGGCATGTAAACATTATTGTACAAAGTATTCTTGCCTCCATTAGAAAAAGACAGATTTTGTTTCTTCAAATATTAATAAAGTTGTAAGGACGAATGAGTATTAAGCAGTGATGTTTAAATCCTCTAAGTATAGTCGAGTCCCGTCCAGTGGTTTCAGACATTTTGATTGTGACTTGCGTGTATGTTTGTATATAGTTTGCGGAGATATCAGTTTAGTTGGTTCCTAGGTGTACTTTATATACTTTATAACAAGTATCGTGTAATTTATTGTAGCTAAACTATTGTTAATATTTGGGAACGTTATATTGTGTATTTGTGATTTAGTGAATTCAATTATTTATTGTAAATTAAGACCAATTACGGAAATATTTATGTAATTATAATACCCTCATTGTTAGTTGCGTGAATTGCGTGATCAGTAGGCGTATGCTAAGCAACATGTTGCGCTACAAGTTGCTAGTATCCGCGGATGGTCGTGTCACCTCGTATTGCCTCATTAGCTAGGTCATTCATCGCCATATTTGAGTATATACTGTGTAAGCTGGGGTTGCGCATATCAGTACGATACGTTATACTAAATGTTACGTTAGTACGCAGTTAGGTTTATTTCATTGTTGCTAGTCTACGACACGTGTTGCGCGTATTGTTGCTTTGTTGCGGCTCTGCCCAGTGTAAATGATGCATTTAGACATTTATATAAAATATTTAAGACCTTATAATGCGAGTATATAATGATCAATTTGTATTACAAGTAATAAAACACTTAAATTATTTTGTTTTTGTAAGGATGCGTCATATACACTGTGTGTGGTGAATATTTCCATAGTTTAGTTGCGTGGCGCGGGTAAGATATTATTATGTAGCTGTCTGGTGTATGTGGTGAGAGAATGGTGACGGTCTGACGGTAGAGGGCGCGGTTATCTTCCAAGGGGTGGGTGTAGTTAAGCTAACTTAGAGATCGGTGCGAATCATACTTGTTTGATTTATAGTATACTAAATTGAATTTACAAAGACAATATGGACTTTATCTTGATAAATGGTAAATTTTAAATGGGATTGTGTGTAATATCGAGTTATTTACTGACTATGTACCTGTAATATAAGACGAATGATTATTGTGTGAGGGCTATTTTCGAGAAAAAAGTAAAGAAATCTAGTAGCTACATATGAGCTTATTTCTAATTATTTTGCAGTTTTATTCTATATACGATTTGTGATCGACATACATTTCGCACCGATTTAAGAAAATAATTAAAATGATATTAATAGCTTGTAGACAACACGACTTTATTTTTTAAATATAAAGACGACTTTTCAAATTAAAAAAAATCGTTACGTGAACTACAAAACTATGTTATTTGAATTGAGAACAAACGTGACTTAAAATATATTTTCCATCTATCTATGTATCGTGTAATTAGAAAAATTGCGATTCAGCAATTGGTTGCATCAGACTAGACAGAATTACCGTGTCAACGGCAGTAAATATATTTCTTAAAATATCACTAATTATAGTTGTGGTCGTCTTGTCCTTGTGATTCGAACAGGCAATAATCTGTGTTGCGTCGTACCAAGAGTATAAAATAGATAATGTATTATTATAATAGTACGGTGTACCCGAGGTAGGACATTGGATGTGCCAATGTTTGTCATATTACTACTCTAACGTTTGAATCATATATTTTTATAGTGTTCATTATTAATTATGTGTTACCGAACAAATGTAGTGTCACTTCAATACGATGTAGGGAGTTAATTGTTCTCGTTTTTCTAATTATTAAAAAAGTATTTATTTTTTGTATCTTTGTTACTTATATTTGTCATGCTATTATAGTGCTTAAATACAGATGCCAGCCCATCAAAATACCCTGACAGATCCTAATTGATTTCCAAGCTTATATGTTTGGATTATAGTTGAAAGTCTATTACATGAATTTCGATTTTGATATACTGGTATCTGTACGTAAATACAAATAATACTTTTCCTTACACGTTACATGTTTTTTTCCACAAAATAGCCTGTTATCTATTCCCTAGTTTCTGTTCCCTAATAAACTGTTTCACGATATATGTAATACGTTGAGGTGCTTCTTGTCAATTCGGTTGTGTTGGCTTTCTACAGTCGGATGCACACAACGGTCACGTTTCATTATTCTACATTTACCTATATGTCCTTCACTGACTGTCTTAAGCGTTGTGCAGCCGATTGTACAACTTACAAAGTTATTTAACATAATTAGTTGAAACCACTCTGTTATTAAAGTAAGATTATAACAATAATGTACCTCCACAACACAGTTACTCCGCACCTGTTACATACAAACATTATTATTAATAATTATAAACATTTTTCATATCTTTTGCTCGTTCGTAGTCATATAAAGTTTTACTCATAAAAGCCCCGAGCTATCGGCTCGTTCGGGAACGCTTCCAAATTGCGCCATCTTTAAAAAGTGATAGCTATGTGTCGGTGTTGTATTCTATCCCTTCCTAGTGTTCAATAATCGTTATACAAAGGAAAGAGACAAAACATTTTAAAATGTTAAGTGTTCGATAGCTTTTATTGTCCAGCCGACGTGCGACAGAGACAGCAGTATCTCCGTCGCACGCGCCGCTGGATGTAGCTGTAATCATAAAATGAATATTGTATAATAATCCTGTAATCTAAAGACCAATGTAATATTTATTGTCGGTCAAAATATTATTGTATTGAATTTCAGATGTTTCTATCGTGGATGTATCGATCACTTGTTAATTGTTCAAGGGCGTAGCTCTGCTCGTGGGTGGCATAGTGCACCTAGCAGTGTAGTAGCGGAAGCCCCAGCGGCACATAGTACAGTAATATAGCGGCACTCAGACAAACGAATAAACGCCTCGCGAGCAGAGCGGCGCCGGGTGTAACGCATAGTCTTGCAGGTATACCGATTGTGAGGATATTACTGTAGATGTATATAATTTTATCTATACATATAACTATATATAAATACGTTTATAAACCTGTTGTGCTCTTGTGTACTTTACTACGTTGTAGGTGTTGTTCTTGGCATTCGATGTTGACTGTATATAAAACGTTTAAGGATATTAAAAAATAATAATTATTATGTTACATAATTATGTGTTTTATTTTAATTTAAGCCACGTGCTGTGTTTATCTCGAGAAATGATTCACGCGCATCACGATAACTACATACGTTACGTTGCCCTGTCAATCTGTGTTTGAGATTAGAGGCAAAACAATTGACTGATACGCAAAAAAAGGTTAAGTTTATTATTATTCTTATTCGATGCAAATACTTCATCATAATAATATCATCACATACCGCTGGCCTATACTTTCCACTTTCGAGCAAAGGCCTCTTCCTACACGAAAAATGTATGAACAACTACGCTTGCTCAAAACGGATGGGCGCTTTCAAACTTATAATTTATAATTAAGTCCAGGTTTCCTCACGAGAATTTCTTTCACCGTGCCAGCGGTGTCTAAATAATCAAAGCAAGCAGTTCAGGTTACTTTGAATTGCTTATATAAAATCGAATGAAGATTAGTTACCTGCCTACTTGACTCATTAAAAACAAATAAGCGGTGGCTGGGTAAACAGCTATCGTGCAACGTGACGCGGGTTACATTTCCGCACGGAATGGAACACGGAACAACTTTTTATGTGATCCACAAATTGTTCTGGGTCTGGTACGAATCTGAACTGGTATTTTTGTAAATTCACTCGTGACATAGGAGAAAATCCTAGTGTGGGACTACGTATTTTTTATGTGTAACAAAATGTTAATATAACACCAAATATGAAGGTTTTGTTGTTTTTTTTTATGGAATAAAAAACACGAGCAGACGGATCACCTGATGGTAAAAGTAATTGGCGCTGCCCACCTGTGGACATCTGCACCACCAGAGTATTTTTGAAGATAGTTGGCAATAAATAAGCATACCTAATTACATACATTTAACATTTCGAATAAAAAAATGGAATTACACTAGTTGTAAAATAACAATGGTAATAAAAACAAGGAAGAACATTATATAATGTAATATTGATATACAAAGCGGTTCAACTCTGAGATAGTCAAAGTTAAAGTGTGTGGATAAGATACATAGTGGACATTATCTTTTACTTGTCACTTAGAAGAAATCTTTGGAGTAATTTGCGGCGTCAACCTACAGCCTACACTATCTGTGATATATCATATCTGACATAATTATAATCTGTTCCCATGTATTTAGATATCTACAGTTCACCACACAGCAAGAATAGATAATTTTCAAGTGACTATAGTAGGTACTATAGTCACTTGAAAATCATATACATTATACAAACATACTTTCAAACGTTGCCCTCAACTAGGTATTTTTCCTTTACCATGGGTGCTTCTACAAACATACGACTCCACATACAAATTACGACCAGACCCAGTACATCAATTTGTGGATCACACAGAATTATTCCAAACACGTTGCGGAGTATCCGAGTCACTGCACTAACCATGCAATAAAACAATTGAATCCTTTTGGTCAAAGAGCGCTACAGATTTTGTGCTAACCTTATTTATAGCATATATACCTACAGTCTATGTGCGTGCGTCAGATGGTATTATAGCTCGTCAATGTTGACAGAATGTCAAAACTTCAAAACCTTACCTTTGATCAGCGCAGATACATAATAGTTTTCTCACAGACTATTTTTTAGATATATGGAAAATGGAATGAGTTTTCTGTATGATCAGCAACACTGTCGACCAAGCAATAACCTAGTATAATGTTCAGTTGGCTTGTGACGTGACAGATTAATTGTAAGCAAGTGATGCCCAGAAAGGTGACTCAGAGCACGCAGACAAAACGTTCATTAAGTAAGGAGTTAGATTTAGAGGCCTTGCTGCTGGAGCTGGGCGAGTTTGGCCTCTACCAGCGCTGGGTGTTCGTGTACCTGGGGTTGGCCATCATATTCACCAGCATCTACAACTGTCAATATGTGTTTACTGCTGCCGGTGACAATTACAGGTCAGTTTGAATAGATTAGATTACTCCATTTGTTCTTCTCTTAAACAATAAATATGTAGATGAGGTTATTTATGACATATAAAAATTTAAAATGTTGGAAAAGTTGCATTACCACGCTCGTAGCTTACGAGTATAGCTATCAAAGAAACTGAAATTGTACAGAACCAAGGGTGTTCGGGTATTAGGTTGAGGTATGATGAGGATGTTGTCGTCGGACGCCTACCTTAAAATATCAAATAACAACAATTCTGACAAGTTGAAAATCATCTTAGCCGATTGATAAAAGTTTAATTGTGAAAAAGGCACTTCTTGGGTTTTACATAAGTATTAGATGTCCATTTTCCACTTATTGGCCTTTCATTTTCTACTATCTAAATCTAATTGTGGGTTTCAGTTTCAGTGAATATTACGTATATCTACTTGCTACTAAATAAAAAGTGTGGGAGAGCCATGCTTCGGCACGAATGGGTCGGCTCGACCGGAGAGATACCACGGCCTCACAGAAAACCGGCGTGAAATAACCACAGCATTGTATTTCGCCGTGTGAGTGAGGTTACCGGAGGCCTAATCCTTCCCCTTCCCCAATCCCTAAATCTCCAAATCCCTAATCCCTAAAAGGTCCCTACTCCGTTGCGAGTGTCCATGGGCGGCGCTGATTGCTTACCATCAGGTAATCCGTCTGCTCGTTTGCCGATCGTTTACATAAAAAAAAATACTATAATGTTGTTAATTTAAATAAGACGTGAGCCTCAGACTACAAGAGGAGTCACACACAGCTGACTTAGTGCCCTTCTTTAGGTGCAAAGTACCCGCATGCGAACAATCTCCGCCAGTTTATGACTCACTACCTTGGGGAAGATTTGCGTTGCCATCGACTGGGTACGACTGCTACCAGAAAATACCCATCGGCAAGAGCTGCGCGCCTGAGAGCTTTTCTAACAAAACCCGTCGCTGCTACTCCTGGGTCTATGAAGAAGGACTTAGTTTAGTAGCTGAGGTGATCTCACAGAAATTATTGTTTTATGCATATAGTCTGCACGGTTGGCGCGGTGGCTGGGTACCTGGCTGCCGCGCAGCGGGTCGCGGGTTTGATTCCCCCACGGATCAACTCTTTGTGTGACCCACAAATTGTTGGTCTGGGTGTGATTTGTATCTTCGTGACATTGTATGTTTGCAAACGCACCCCCGAGACAGTAGAAAATCGTAGAGCGGGGCAGCGTACGAGCATAGGTACTTAATGATGTGAAATTTGAATTAAAGAGACCCTGCAATTTTTGTACATTGATTGGTACATGGACAGGCTACAGATGGTACAATTGCACAGTCCTCCAGAGTATTTAGGGTTTTTTGGGTGGAAGGGTGGAAAATCATCCTACGACGAGATCCTCTTACTGATTCAAAACTGCTCTGTTCCTTTTCCTACTTCCAGTAGGCCGGAGTACTTTTGATGCAATTACTTGGTAGGTATTTTAAAGCACTTCCAGAAGTTCTCAACACTTGTGATGCAGCACACCAAACAATAGCTAAGCTATGTAATATTCCAGTTTGATTTAGCGTGTCAGGAGTGGAAGCGCACCCTAGTGGGCACCATCCACAACTTCGGCGTGTTCCTGGCTATACCTCTCACTGCTGCGGTTTCTGATACGTAAGTGAGATTCCAAGTTTATTTTTGTTCACACACACCAGACAAAAACTTAATAGTAGGCGCAGGCCATTATGATTTTTAATGAGTAAATTATATCGCTAGTTAAGTCGGTAGTAGTATTAAAAAACCTGACAAAAGTATTGTACGCTAACTCTGTCCCCCAGTTTCTGGCTCATAATTTATGCCTGTTTCTGTATGGGACTGTATAGGTAGATTCCTAATTGAAAGATTTTCCAAACCGATCAGGTAGTTTCAGAGATATTCATTTATAATATCATATTTTATAGATGTACTAAGCTGAACGAAAAGTCGGTATTTTTTTCTTACAATAATGTATCAATTGTGATGAGTTTAATATGTATCAGATATGGCCGGCGTTTCGCGCTGATCGGCACCTGTGTAGCTCCGGCTTTCTTCGGTCTAATGCGAGCGTTTTGCAACAATTACATACTATACTTGTTTTTGGAGTTCGTTGAAGCACTGGTCGGCAATGGCACATACAGCACTGCGTTCATTTTAGGTACTTGATTTTGAAATTATTTACGTAATTAGGAACTTTGTCTTTTAATTGTAGCGCAGTGTCTTATTTATAATCTGAGTTTGTTTCGGCATTTCTTCTCAGAGTAGTCAGATAGGAAATGCCGGCTTTATCTAGTTTTTTACATATAAATTGACGTGTAAAAGTGCCGTTTTATGGCCTATTTGCAAAAATAAATTCATTGTTTCATTGTTATAATGTGCAATATTGTTGATTTCAGCTCTTGAGATAGTGGGTCTGAAGATGCGAGTGCTCGGCGGCAACATAATCCAGAGCACGTATGCGCTGGGGCAGATACTGACCGCAGTCATCGCCTGGATAGCGCCTTACTGGCGGACTTTTACCATCGCCATATTTAGTCCCTCTTTCCTATTCATTTTCTACATATTTTTCGCGGAGGAAAGTTTCCGGTGGTTGATCATCAAGGGAAAAGACGATGAAGCTGCCAGAATTCTTCTTAAAATAGCAAAGTGTAACAAAGTACAGCTTTTACCTGAAACAAAGGCAATATTGACCGGAGCTCCTAAAAAAATTATTAGATCTACTACGATTGTGACACGCAGTTTGTCACAGCGTCCCCAGCGCAAAGAGAAGAATCTGATAACGCAAGTACTGCAGTCCAGGACGATGGTGTTCCGCATCAGTGTGGTGTCGTTCTGGTGGGTGTCGGTGACCATGATCTACTACGGCCTGTCCATCAACTCGGTCTCGCTGATGGGCAACAAGTACGTCAACTATATGATGACGGCATTTGTCGAGATCCCTGGCGCATTTCTTTGCTTTCTGACCCTCGACCGATTCGGAAGGAAAAGCTCTATAATGACAAGCTTTTTCGTCTGTGGCATATCGTTGCTCGTGCTACCGGTTGTAAATAACCGTAAGTAATATCTTATTAAGAAATACTACATTACCGCGGCGTGGCCAAAAGTCAATTGGGACTCCTGGCAGCCAATTACGGAGTAGTGGAGGGTAGTGGGTATGTAGCGTGTTCACGAAAATTAATTAGATTTTTCTAGATTATCACGTATTTACACCTATACTGTTCGTATGTGATACGTTGTGATATAATCTGAATGCAATAACAGTACTCATGTTATTTCAGAAACCTTAATGGTAACCCTGACTTTGGTGGGCAAGATGATGAGCAGCCTGATCTTCTGTGGTATTTACATTTACACAGTCGAGTTGTTCCCTACGAACGCGCGCCACCGGCTGCTGGGATTCTGTTCCATGACGGGCCGCATCGGGTCCATGTGCGCGCCGCAGACACCTCTGTTGGTTGGTCGGTCTATATCTTACTTCACACACTAAATATGCATGACTTCAATAACTTGCAGCTGTTGGCCCCACATTCTTAACACTTAGAATGCTTGTCGTGTACGACTTCTTCTGACATTGATAGGTTAGATTAGGTTACAATTTGACACATACCGTGCCTTTTTTCTATGATAGGGCGGCAAATGAGCACACGTATTAGGAACCTGATCTTAAGCCATCAGTGTCGCCCATGGACTCTCAAATACCGGAGGAGTTACGAGTGCGTTGCTGACCTTTTGGCGATTAGGGATTTGGAGATTTTGGGATTATGGGAGGGGGATTCGGCCTCAAGTTTCTCACACGGCGAAAAAAAACTCTGTGGTTGTTTTACGCCGGTGTTCTGAAAGTGGCATTACTTCGGTCGAGCCGAAGCATGGCTTTCCCACGTTTTTATTTGCTATTTTCTTTAGTGTCAGAATCCAATAATTAGTTGCCAAACTTACAAAGTGAAATGAACTAACAGATGAGTCTAGTAACGTAGAAGTGATCACAACAGATGGCGTACATGAAGTCCCTCCCGTACCTTTTGTTCGGGTCGCTGGCTGGGGCGTCGGGGTTGCTGATGCTGCTGACTCCGGAGACTCTGCACATGAAGCTGCCCGACACCATCGCGCAGGCTGAGCAGATGACCCTCGCTGGCCGTACTAACAAACCGACCAATTTGATCGTCTCGTAATACTGAGCCGGGTGGGCTCACTAAGGAAGAATGGCTTGATCCTTACCCGACTTGGATCCTACTATCGCTCTGTTTCAGATGCTTATATAGACATATTTACGTATAATTGTATTATTATTGTAATTAAAATTTTATGAATATACCTCCTGTTTGTTTATTACCCAGGTCATCTGCTAATATAGGCGAAAGTTGTATATATGGATGAATGGAAGGATGAAGGTCTTTTGCTCTTTCACGTAATTGCTAAATACTGAACATTTATACATAGCGTAGCGATGATTTTGGGGCTGATTTTTCAATAGCCAAATAAATGTTATCTGAGGAATAAAATTGTTGCTGTCACTGTCTTATACAAATATTTTGACGCATCATAAATTATTCCCCAGGTAACTTTTATCTAACCATTGAAAATTCGACCCTTAAGCACTTTTTTGATAAAAAAATGCTCTTCTTAATTACACAGCAAAATGAATACAGGAAATCGCATGAATTTCGACGAATATATTATTATGTATGTACATTTACGGGTCAAATTGAGAACTTGCTTCTTTTTTGAAGTCGGTTAGAAACTGCCCTCCCTCCCAATTTACTATAATGTTGCGGAGCTGTATAAGAAAGTTTTTGTTTTGTTTCAATGACCTTTTATTATATAGGTTATAGTTTCTATTTGTGTTCATGGTATTTTTACTGAAAATTTGCTATTTTATATTAACTAACTAGCTATTGCCCGCGACTTCGTTCGCGTGGAATATTAACTTCCTGTAGATTTTTGGTATAAAAACTATCCTATGTTCTATTTCGAGTTCCAAACTTAGCCTGTACCAAATTTCACAGAAATTGGGTCAGTAGTTTATGCGTGAATAAAAGAAAGACTTACAGAGTTACTTTCGTATTTATAATATTAGTTTGGATAACATAAGGGCACAAACTTTACTATTATGATTGTAGTACGCTGTAGTTTTTAAATATGCCAATTCATTGCAATTGTCTGTCGCTAACAAGAGGGTAGGTAGGTATTTAATGTAATTGATAGGTACGATCTTAGTACCTACCTATTATTCACGTGAGCGGAAAAATAGTTACCTACTTACAATTTTGTTAGAGCAGTTTTTCCTTCAGCACAATTATCTACGTTCCGATTTGAGATGTTTGGTAGATATTTGTTTGAATAATCTTTATTTCTTTTTATGAATAAGTGTAGTCTGATTGTCAAGTTTAAACGAGTTTAATTATTAAGTTTTAGTCTCTCGTTGCGGGTGCTAGCCCAAATGTACAGCGGCCCTATCCCAGAGTCAGAATAGGAACGTGATAGTTTTTAGTCCATAAGATTATTTTTTATGTTATAATGCAGACGGATTACCTGATGGTAGATAAGCAATCAGAACTCGCAACAATAGAGAAGCTACGAGAGGATCCGGGAGGGGAAGGATTGGGCTTCCAGTTAATGTATAGAACGCACAGGTGCGTCGAGGGCACACAGAGTAGCGTAAGGAAACGCACATACGCGTCGGGGGCACTGGATGCGTTAACCCAATCACACGGCGAAACACAACGCTGTGGTTGTTTCACGCCGGTTTTCTGTGACTCCGATCGAGCGGACCCATTTGTGCCGAAGAATAGCTTTTCCACACTTAATAGTAAAGTCTGACACTCTTGTTGTTCTACACACAAAAAGCCACTCCCTAAACAACAAAGTTGCAAAATCTACGTTGCTTTAGTCGTAAGTGTCAATCGTCGTGATCGAGTCATTAATTACTACTACAACATATTACTTACGTTAGCAGTCAGCAGTCAGTAGGGTTATTTACGACAGAGTGCACTTTTATCATCTGCACGCGGAGGTTTAATTGATTCCCTGGTTTAATGTTAACCTGAGTGCTTCAGCCGGCTACTTACCAAGGCCGTTTACAGACAGGTATCTTTGTCACAAACACAATAGTATCACAGTAGCAGACATTTGTTTTTATAAGTTTTATTCCAAAATACATTATGTACTTAAGTATTTAGAATTGTATACTTCATGAGCCTACTGTACCTAATATTTACCTTACACGCGGCAGTGGACTGTCAGCGATATCGTATCGTTTGTATTACATTGCCTACAACTGAAATGTTGAGTGCGCGTGTAACGAGCGAAGGATGGCTGTAATCTAGGTGTTACGTTTGCTGGTGACGTCGCAAGAGATTACTAAGTTCGATGTGTCGATAAGCGGTGGTGATAGTGGCGAGTGAGTGCAGCGACACGGCTGCCTGCTGACCGCGAGCAGTGGCCGCCGCGCGATCTCTGCCGCCTCGCCAGTCGACACTTGGCGACCCACAGGCGCTGACCGACGAGTGTCGCCTTCTTGTGATCCCTCACCAACCGCTACCATGGCCGGGACTGTGGACCTGGACGCGATACTGCTGGAGCTCGGCCAGTTCGGCCGCTACCAGATCAGAAACTATTGCTTTATCCTCCTCGTCATCCTGATGAGCGCTGTCTACAACAGCCAGTACATCTTTGCTGCTGGAGAAGTGTCTTACAGGTAGGTAGCCTTCATTATTTCGGTTGTTGGTATATTGTGGCTACCATTTCTGTAAACATAAGGTGAAAACAAAGTACCTAAAGCCCGATCATTGACCTATAGAAAATTGCAGATCAATTGTCTTTTTCCCGCTGTATATATTGTTGGTGACTTTCTTGGTTTTATTTAGGTGGGATAGCCAGGCAGGTTAAGTACCACCTTCGTTGTGCACGAACTGTTGTCTAACTATTTCATTAAAATAAATACCTATAATTAGGAACATTCCTTACGTAGGTACTTTCATTCCAAAAGTTTCCAAAGAAATCTTTGGCGAAATACAACAATTATAGGTACTTCGTGTATCATTAGATATTAAAGATATAATTTATTACGAATTACTGATTTAAACGCGATGTTGATTAGGCTCAAGTAATTGTTTTATTACAAAACGATGATAATGTAATATTAGTACGTTTGTTGTTCCAACAAACTCTGAATTAAATAAATTCAAACAAAATAGTACAATAAGCCAAGACGCAATGCAAAATCCAAATTTGTTTATATTGCTTGCATTGGTTGAAGTATTTCCTTTACACGGATCTGATAGTTTATAAATTATCAGATAAAGATCTTAATTGCGTGTACACAATAATAATTTTCTATCGACATGATTGATGTTTTAGCTACTAATGCGTGATATAAATTTTAATCATCTAAATTCTGGTATTTGCAATAATATTACATTTCAAGGCTACATAGCTTTTAGGAGTGAACACTACGGACAATTTGTTTTACTTTCCTCGTCATCAGCACGACTACAAACAAATAAATATACTTACTTACTTACAAAGAGGGAAAGCATCAGAGGGCTTCAGGTCCATGATATAGGTCTGTTACACATATCTCGTCGTACTAACAACAGCCCTTAGCATATTCAGTAATCCAAAGCTGACCAAATTATTGATAGGGTAGTTTATAGCCCTTTATATTGTTAAAAATCTTGTAATTAAACAAATTAATAGAGTAGGTTGGTGTTCATTTATTTTATTTATTTAGCAAAAGTACTATTTTAGTAATAACATTTTGTTCTTATAATTAAAGATCCTCGCCAAACATAACGTTTAACGGCGAGTTTACCATTTGACCTGGTTGTGACCATCAGCATAGAAGTTACTTCATTAATATATTTATTTATAAGAAATTACTTTTTTGGCCGGCAAATATCAATAATCTAACCACAGTTGTACGAAACAGCATTAGTTTCATTAATAACCATGCTTATATATTCATTATTTCCTAAACGTTATCATTCAAGGAACTTATTCGCTACAAAGTCCTTGTTATTGTAATATTATCCTAAATGTCATTGCCAATGAGTTTAAAATTGTATAATGTGTGAATGGCTCCACGAAGTCTGCTACAGAGTGTGTTTATTACTAAGGTTTGTTATTTGTGTGGCCACGCAGTTGTGAGTTGTGACTTCTCAAGTGGTGTGTCAATGAGCGGCGCTTATCACATAACATATCTCAAATTTAAATCAATTATGCGAACTTGCAACACTCCTATAGAAATGTAAATATTTCAACTTATTTGCTAATTATTATACCATAAATATCACTACATAGTTAAAAACCAAGTTACTTTCTCTGTCTTTATATCCCTATGTACTACGCTGCGCTCTTTAAAACCACGCAACGGATTTTCATGTGGTTTATTTAGAATGATTGAAGACGAAGGTTTATATGTACATATACCTAATAACATCCATAAAATAGTGTATAAATTGAGTATAATTATTGAACTCGTGTGACGCCGGGGCGGGTTGCTAGTTTTAAATAATTCAAATAAAGGAGGAAGGAAATATTGTAGTAGACAGTGCGGAAGAAGTGTAAGAATTAATAATCACAAGGTCAATTAGCGTGTCATCTTCCTTAGATTTACTGCCGATGAATGACAATGTTGTTATTGATAGAATACAATTATTATTAGACCGTGCAGTGAGAAAATGCCTTAGGTAGGGTCAGGTACTAGGTGCGCAACCCATCACATTCTAAGTCATAAATTTGATTTTGGTACAGATGGTCGGCATTATAAACGAGCCCAAAATGTAAAAAACCACTTCAGAGTTTTTAAAATTAATTATGTTAAAAACATATAGAAGAAAGTTAGATTGGTCTCGCTGAAAGTGCTAGTTTTAACTTTCACGAGGTATTATAATATTAATCAAGATTATATTGATAACTGCAACGCATCCTCACAACAATTCCCTACGTAACATCTCACACAAACTTTCTAAGTCCATGGCTGGCTGCAGCGTAATGAGTCGCGGATTGGAACCACTATTTGTGTGATCCGTAAATCGTTGTTTCTATGTCATAAAAATGTTGTATAAAAACTGTTTACTGTTTTCTTATATGATTTGTTTTTAAAAAGTCTTGTTAGAAACGGTTCACCCAATCTAAGGTTAGTCCAGAATGAAATACTGACAAAGATAATTCTACAGTTTAACTATGTTTTTAATCGTTTTTTCTTTCCCAATTTCTAATTGTTATCACGAGGAAGAGTCTCCTTCCGTGCTAGGTCAGCGAGCAAGTGCTCTTTTATCTTCACGGCTCAGTAGCGACTGAGGATGTTCTGCGTGAGTAGCCACTGACCAGCAACCACCATTCGACATTGAGATCGCCTCTCTAATTGACTGAAACGCTTCTTGTCGACTACAATTATATTTATTTTGAGTACTGACCTAATAATCAATACGTATTTTTAAATAATACAACTGTAGACATAATAAAAAATAGATTATCAAGAAATGTAACCAGATTAGCATTATCGGATCTGTAACGGAGAGTTTCACTGAATTGCCATTAGAAATAAATATAATCAATAATAATCAATCAGAGTTTTGGATTAACATAATCACGTATTTGTTATAAACTGTATAGAGTTCATGCGTAAGACTGCCTTTATTTTTTTTTGTCATGGTAAAATTATCTAATGACCTTTCCCGCCCAGGGTTAGGCGAGAGAGAGAGTGTCAGACTCTTACTGACTAAAATCCCTTTCCTTTACCTCCTCTGGGCCGCATCAACCGAACATCAGCCCTATTGGGGGTGTGTGGTGGTCTATTGGCTATTTGAGGCGCGCGCGGAATGCTACGCGCCGTAGGTACGCTCGGGTCTGCGGCGAGCTACCCTTACTCGCCGTCCGCAGACCTGCGCTTTAAGACTACCTATAGCATTAATTTTGACCAAGTAATGTTATGTTGTTGTTTTCGTTGACGACCCTATTTCGCGAATCCTAATCACTGGCTTTATTCAAAGGTTTGTCAGAAATCGCATCTAGCGACAAGACCAATCACTGTTCATTTGTATTTTAAGCTATACAATATAGTGTGCAATATAGAGTAAATAAATAAAAAAATAATGATTGTGTTGGATAAAGAAATTTAAGTATAATAATTAAGAAAATAATATTGTAACACTTCTAGAATTACAATGAAGGTCTTTAACCTAAGCAATAAGGTTTATTTTTGACACGTACTGCCCAGAAAAACATTGATTACATAATTTTCTCAATAATTTTGGTATCACGTGACGTGCCGTCGACTTACGACGATTGTAAATTAACGAGTCGACAAAATTAAGAAGTAATAGCAAAGCCATTGACCAGCTATTAATTCACTAATTACTGATTACGTACCTACTCGTGGAAACTTTAAGCGTGCAACATTTACATGTACCTAATGTGAGTAAAGTATTGTAATGAACATATTTTACGATGTAACGTCAAGCTGTGTAATAGGAAATAATGAAACAAATCTGCCTACATTATAATTAAGATATCAATTACGAATAATTACGACCTTCAGACCTGTCAATGCTAAGTTCCAACTACTATCTGAAGATTCTGAAGTCAACAGTTACTTTCGTATATTGATAAATTCGTTGTAAAATTAACCTCCTGTATTTCGTAATTTATTTAATTTGTTTAATACGTTATTCAAGAACTTCTGAAATAGCCGAAACTTGTAGTAATTGGATAAATGGGAAAGCCAGTGATACAACGGCCTCACAGAAAACTGGCGTTGAACAACCACAGCGGTGTTTTGTGTGAGTGAGGTTACCGGACGCCCAATCCGTCTCCTCTCCATCTCCGCCCAAAACCCAACTCTAATATTTACCATCCTGACCTATTATTTTTTATACATTATTTCCAATAGGTAAACCGACTACTTGTTTACTGCCCTATGCCTTCATACTATTTTTCACTGAAGAGTCCTAGCGTTTGTATGACATTTTACGTAACGTAGAGGATCTTGATCAACTTGGAATTTTGTCTTATAAAACTCTGGTGGCATTTACAATAACGCTGACCTACCCGTTTTCCTGTACTTGTACTGCAACATAGAAGTAACTACAACTCTGTCATTTGTTTATTTTTATTCGAATGCCAAACTAGGCTTAAGGAAAATTTAAGTCAAGGTATTGACATGATTGCCTCGCTTGACCTAGTGGTTGTAGGTGCTCTTAGGGTCGGGTAACATTGAATTAAGGAAGATACATACCTACGAGATTTTTATACGAGATCCGATTACAAAACGATGTCCGACTTTTTTCCTTGTTTCTGTAAAATTTTCCTATTGTTTTACTATTACTGTGCTAAGCAAGAACTTATACTATTATGAGTGGCATTTTAAGTAATTTTTGTATTGTTGTTTTTTCCTGGGATTCGCAAATGTGACCCTATTTGTTTCATAACTGATCGAAGGTTGAATCTAGCTACTCTTTTCAAGGACTACCCAATTTCGCGCGGTTTTATCCGCTGTTCGGCTCTATTTGATCGTAGCCTACAACACTCAGGAATATTGTAGCTATCTTGTGATGATCAGTGAGGTAAATCCGACTAGCGGTTCCAAAGATTACTTCTTACATAAAACTGGCAATTTACAAAATTTTCCGGTTTATAATATTAGTATAGACATAGTTTGTGTAGATCATCTTAATGGTATAAAAACGTCCTTCC